GTGTGTGTGTGTGTGTGTGTGTGTGTGTGTGTGTGTTTGTGTGTGTGTGGCTTGGATGTGGCTTGGATGTAATTCTTGTGTAGAAGGAGGAGGAGGAGGAGGAGGCAGGTATGCATACCTAGGTGAGGATATTACCCTTTGGCATTGGGAGTTGCGGACGTTACCTATGTTCTGGCTTGAACTTTTCTCGTTTTTTGGGGCGCGGGGGGGGGGTTGTTGCGTGCGAAGAACTGTGATGCATAGGCTAGTATGTAGGAGGTATTGGGGTATCTATCTATCCTTTTTAAGTCTTGGGGTGAGGGAGATCAACGGCCGGAGAGGTAAAGGCAAGATAACTAACTCTACTGTCTGGTGTTTGATGTACGACACTGAGACGCCCGCTGTATGTTTTTTTTTTTCTTTTTCTTTTTCTTTTTCTTTTAAGGTGTCGAGCTTTCTCAGTGTGTACGTATGTAGAGCTTGAGGATCAGGGCGTAGCGGGTGCAGCATTTCGTGCAACCGTTTTTTTTTGTTTTTTTTTATCTCCTGTGCTACGTATAGCAGCACATCTATACTATGAGTATCGATGAATATTACCTCATAAACACTCTCAGCGGCATAAGGCAGAGCTGACTTCATAAGACTCGGCAAGCTCATAGCCGCCACCGGTGACCACAGCGAGACAGATGGTAATACCTAGTCAGTGCACTCACCGACTCTGTAACCTGCGGACTCTCGGTCACAGTCAGGGCAAAGCAAGTAAGTGTCCTAGGTCAAGCAACTATCCCATTTCAATTATTTCAACTTGTATTGAAATAACTTGGCAACGAATGATGCTATAATATTCAAAACTAAATGCATAGATCGGCGTAATCGAGATCTTTAAGAGTCGAATCAAGTATGAAATCTTTTTATTAACAATCTTATAATCAATGAAGTGAATAATATTTGGTTATGAATTGAATTTGATCGAAAATCAAATATTTTCTATTGAAATTTTTATATTCTTTAATATTAATCGTATCTTGCATTCAGTTTCAATATAAAAACTCGATATTAAAAAAATTCTTAATCAAGCAGACTCGTACAATCTGTTTTTATTATTATAGCTCTTATAATTATTATCTTACTCAAGTTATAAATATGATCGAAAAGTTGACGTTCTTAAATTTTCGCTAAATCGTCCGAGCTTTTTCCGCTTCTACGATTGTAATTTTTACGTAATAGAGTATTATTTCACTTATTTCAAATGATAAAAATATATAATATTTTTTACAAGTCAAATATAATTCACTCATCTCAATTCGTATATCTCTAATTTATTGTTATTATTTTTTGCGTTACTGACTTGTTTTTACTACAAATTGCGATTTTCGATTCTTTTCGATAAAGAACCAATTTTTTTTATTTTTTTTTTACGATTTGCAACTTGATTAACTTGATAATAAAAAAAGCTCTATCGATAAAAATTGAATGCATTAGTCGGCGGAATCAAGCTCTTTGGAGGTATCAAATTTTAATATCATAGCTTTGTTCGTTGCTAAGTTATTTCCAATACATGTTGAAATACTACGTACTACGTATTTAAAACGGGACACTTGCTTGACCTGGGACACTTGCTTGCCGTGACTGTGACCGAGCGCCCGCAGGTTACAAAGTCAGTGCACTGACTAGCGAGGGATTCTTTGTACCGATAGTACCCGTAACATCCTCCCCCTTCCAATCAGCCCCGCGCTCGGATGCGACTTCGGAAACCGAATCTCGACGCCGTGACCTTCCCCGAGGGGCACCTTCCTTACCCGTTACCGGATTCTCGCTTCCCATTCGCCCCGTGGCTTGACCTGCACCGGGGCAACGTTCTACCTCCCGGTACCTCCGCGAGGCGCGCGCAGAAGCCGGCTGCTAGTAGTACTACTACTACGTACATGTCAACATCCTCGTCCTAGGCCGCAGCCGCTACCGGCCCCTCAAGAGCTCGGGGGTATGTACTACTACGTACGGGTATCCGCCCCTCGGCTTCACCGACGACATCATCCTGCGCTGCGTCTCCTGTTGCGAGAGACCCCGCTCTGCATCTTTACTCGGGAGATAGAAGCGGCGGAGGTCGTGTGGCAACCAAGCAACCATACCATACCATTCCATACCATATCCCCTCCTCCCCGATTCTCACAACTGAGACTGTTCGTTCATGTTCACGAGGGGTCTGGTTGATGCTCGCCGAGCCGAGGGACGTTTTCGCTGCTGATCTTCGTATTGTATCGTATTGTATCGAATCTGAACGGTAATTCAGAGGGGAGCGGGAGATGGGTGTGTTGTTGCGGGCTGCGGTTTGCGGTTTTGCTCAGTAAGGGTGCTAGCAGGTGGTGGATCTCGCGAGGGATTGAACGATAGTGTTGCTAGGTAGGTAAGTAGGTGGGAGAAATCTCCTCCTCGTACTCCTACTACCTACTACTGCTGCTACTCCTCCAGGTATATCTACCGTTCAAGTCTGAAACCCCCTACAGCGGGTACTTGGATGGGTGATGGAGGTGAGCGAGCTAACGCCAGGTTGTCAGTCAGTGAAGTGGCTGCTGGCAGGAAAGCGTCGAGCTTGAGCTTGAGCCTGAGCCTGAGCCGAGATTGAGACTGAAGTCGAGGTGCGAAATCGTGTAGTTCTCACTAGCTCATCAGCACGTCTACCTAGTCCTCGAGATCGAGGGTGTGACTGGTGAAGCACGTAGATATTCAAGGCAGGTTTGCATCATGCGCTTTACCCACCGCATACCTATTTGACATGCGTCTAAACGCAATACACAATGCCTCCATCACCTTCTCGTAAGAAAAAAAAAAAAGAAAAAAGAAAAAACACCATAGCCGGAGATTGCTCGCCTAGGTAATCGTCGGTTTCCTTAAATTTCAATTCGAAAGAATTGACCGACTTGCTCCTTTTTTAACGACTAGAAAACCAATCAACGATCACATCATAATTATTTCTGTATAGAAAGATGCGCCGTACTTCTTTAATTTTGACATCAATCAACTAATCGAATTTCAATGACAAGTTGTTATTCCTTCATTGTATTAAGTTAAAGTAGTAAAAATGGTACTCTTGAAAATATATATATATATATATTTCGATTTTACTTACCAATGAGTATATATCAGAATTTGCCGCGATAAATACTAGAATAAGCGAGGAATATCAAAAGAATACGTGCATCATTACCAATATTTTTACTTGATCATTGAATACCTGTAGCGATATACTCTGTTAAATCATCTCTTTTCCATCTATCGGACGCTTTTTTCTTTTTTTTTTTAATAAAGGTTGTGATTATTAAGATATTCGCAATAAAGAAGTAAATTGGGGGGCTACGATTCTTTACCTATACGAGGTGCCCTTGCCGAACCTTCAGCTCTTTCTCTTTCTTTCTCTTACGGTAGTACGAAAGATAAAGAGTCTAAAGAGCCGAAATGGAATCATCGATATGCGACGTCTCTTCGAAAAATTCTCTTTTATCAGCGAATCGATTCCGAACCTCCCTTTTCCTTCTTCTCGAATACCACGCTGATTACGATCTATACTTGACGGGCATACCGACTGAAAAGACTAAGAGGATTTGCGATAGAAAAAGAACGTGTATAAGAGATAGGATAAGAAGGGCTTTGTTCGATTGCTCGAAAACACGGTACTGCGCTTGCGAAAAAGCGTTTTGCAAATATATCGGCTTTATTTAAAAGGCTACGAACGCGAGCCTTCTTAGCTTTACGACGGAAAAAAACGATGTTTGTATTATACGGATCGAGGCCGCTCGTAGGGCCACACGTATTCGATAGTTGTCGAAAGAAAACTCGACGCATAATACTATGAATTGCTTTGAAAAGGTTTATAAGTGTTTAGCTATTTAACAAGAGGTTTTCTTTAACGTGGTTTTTACTCTCGATTAAATAGTACTTTGTATATAATTCCTTTACTTAGCACGTCGCCGTATCTTATATAAGGTCTCCAAGGTTTAAGCATTGCGTTTTAAATACCCGCCCGACGTTGATAAATATAATAACAACAACAACAATAACAATAAGTAAAGTCGAATTATATAGGACAGTTTTTACTTGTTTATTTTCATTCCATCTCAATATATCAGATCATCACAAATAAATGCATTTTCATGATTTTAATTCATATTTACAAAGCAAAATTTTGTAAGCATACAAATATAATTTTTTTATTTATTTATATTTATATTGATAGTTGTTGTTTGATAAGTGGTAGACCGTTACTGTCCCGCCTTGGTGGTTGCGCCAGCTCGGGATTTTATGATAAATTAAATTCAAGGGAACCGACGATCAGGTACAATTGGAATCAGATCTCCAAGTACAACGGGGTAGGCAAAAGTATATTATCTTTGCTTGTAAGAAAAGGAACGGGATCTAATATCAAAATATTCTTCATCTTGCAAGTGCTTTTTTTCAATTTATTATACCAACTCGTATTAGCTCTGGTAAATACGGAAATGTTCCTTATCGGTTAAATATTCAAATTCAACATCAATATCAACGTCAAATCACATCCGAAATCTGGGAAAATCTCCGATTTGTAGACTCATTCTGAAGTTCTATGGCCTTGATCTTTTTATCACCTGTGTGATGGGGGGCAGCGTTGAGCTCTCTCTTCAGTCATCACTCCTCGCTTTCAGCACCACTAGCAGGGACCCGGGTACCTGCTTCGCCCATCTGCTTAATGCTCCTTTCGATTTTGGCGTAGGCCCATTGGAAGCTGGGATACAGGAAAGGTCCTGTGATGAGATATCAGCAAGCGCAGTCATAACCTAGGCGCGAGAAATTCGCCTCAAGTCAGCTATGGGAACTGAAATCGTTAGACTTACTCATATCAAAGCGGTTATCGTCTACGCCCTTTACCACAGTTAGTTTTGGCAAATTTTCAAGGTCAAGGGTTTTGGTCTCCAAGACCTAATCCTAAGAAAGGTCTTGCGATCCGGAATCCAAATTCTTTGGAATTCAGATGAGAATTGATACGTACATAAGCCTCCATGTGGTACGCCGGACTACATATTGAAGTTCGTCGTTAGCTTTCTTGAATCTTGATCATTCTCGAGAGAGGGGAAAAATCGCTCCATGTGACCCAGTAGGAGATTTCCACTCACGTAATTGTCGTTTGTTTGTGACGGTTGATCGAGTAATTCCAGCTGTAAGAATTTAGTATACGAAAAACACAATATCTTACGATCAAGATCAGGACCAATATAATAATCAATCCTGGTCCCAGATCTCTAGTATTTGGAATTTGGGAAGATACGAACCTGAAGAATCGAACTTTCTCGTAGATTTGCTGCGGTGACAGCTTATCAGTCCAAAGGTGCAACAGTTTCTCAAACATTCCATAAGGGCCCAATTTGCTGGTAGCTGTCAGCAGCCGTATTCCAAACGCGACGCATTCTACTGACTTTATTTTCCTCAGTCGGCCAAAAACACTGAGCTCGTCATACGTTCTGATGCAGATGTTTGGGTCAGTATTTCTTCTTTGGGGCTTGGTTTAAGAGTAATATTCAGGGAAATTTCGGGAGGTGCTTACATTCCCATATCGGCCTATACACACATATTCGAGTCAGCATGCCTCGTTTAATGGTACTCAAAAGTGACACTAGAGGAGATGCTCAAGGCCAGACCGAGGAAGAAAAGGTTAATACTGACCTCGTCCGACTGAACATAAGAGTCCGTCAATGGCTCTAGCTCTGCCGTTGGAGGCGCAGACAGAAAGCCTTGGAGGTCAAGTCCAAAGTTCTCCTTCAGAGAAGCCCAATAAATGACTAGCATAATCGATGTTTAGTGAAAATTTTCCAGATAATTTAGGAAGCACTTTAGAAGCTAGAAGCAACTAGGCTCGATAATAGAGCTTCGCAACTTACAGCTTTTGAGATCTGTCTTTGATATTCCACCGATGGGGTTGATACTGGTAGCGGTTAGAGGGGCCATAGATATTGCTTTGGAAGTCACTTACTCGGCTGAAGAGCAGTCGTATTTTCTGTAATATACTGTAAGTATCGGAGCCTCCGTTAAAATAGCATTGGAGCGATACGTACGTCAAATAGCCTCTGAGGCTTTCATCCACATTGGCGCTCCCAAGCACTAATAGTGACCCAGGTGCTCCTTCTCGGCGGCCTCTGCTTTGAGGGAGGATTTGAGCTAAAGCGTATGCATTGACCATTCTAAGTCGCTACGATAAACAGAGGAGTCAGCATTTTCCATATCAAGAGTAATTGAGAGGAAGATAGAAGACACTTCTTAATCTTCAAGAGATTCGAAGGGGGAAATCACGGGCTCGCTTAATACTTACTGCTTGGATATTTTGTAGAACAAGGTTCTCGACCTTGGTTCCTCCTGTATACAGGTATATGAGTCAGTAAGTCTCTTTGGTGGTGTCTTAATCATTCGTGGCAGGGTAAAAGATCAGGAGCCAGCTGAGGAACGGAAAGTTCGCTGAGGAGACAAACGCATACCTGCCGTCTTGAACTTGGGTTCGGTGCCAGTATTTTCAGCCAGGAGCTGAACCTGTGCTTCATACACGGGGTCAAGGTTGAAAGAGATGTGATGAGCACCAATCTCCGCAGCGAGCTGTTCAGCCCGAGCGCGAGTCTCAGATGATGACATCTTCTCCATCCCCATGTACGCGGTACAGAATATGCGGTTCGCGATCTCCTGTGGAGTTTTGGGAACGAAGCTACTGTCCAGCTCTTCTCCAGAGATGCGGTGCAGATCCGCAAGAACCTGGCGGTTTCCTGATTCGATGGATTGTAATACCAAACGTGTCATGGAATGGACTATGACAGCAGTAGCGCACGAATCGATCCCCCCGCTGAGAGGCAGAAAGTACCCTGCTTGTTTCGCTCGACGTCTGTTCAGGAGTTTAGTACGTCAAAAATAATCATGATCGGGACCAGAATTAGAATCAATGAGGGATTATCCTGATCCCATATCACAGACTCGTTCACGGTGGTAAAACACATACAGATAATCCCAGAGATAACACGCAGGGCCACTATCCATTTGAATCTCGCAGTCAGTATTGCTTCTTCAGGGTATATTTGGAGTATCTCGACTTCAATCTTTGTTTGCAAGAGGGCAATGCGCTACGAGAAGCTGACACTTACAAAGCAATTTCCTGTTGTGGGAGAAGGTACTTGACGGGCCGAGGTGTTGTAGGGTGTAGTGAGAGATCAATCTCATCCCCTTCTCTAGACATTGAAACTGGGAGCATATTAGATCCTCTCATCTGCACAGAGCACGGGAGCCTGACCATCCACGTTTACACGCTCATAACTTTGCTGTGCCAGCGCTTGCATCGCTCTGGATTGCTGATCACGATATGCTCTGATGTCCTGATCAACACTTTAGTATATCGAAAACACAATGTCTCAGGATTGATGATAGGAATAAAGGATCTGATCTCACGATCCCAGACCTTTGACAGTTTTAAGCTGGGATTCGTACCTCCAAATCAACAGTCGCTGTAATAACCTCAGTGTCCTCTAGCGAAAATTGAGAACCCTGAGCCAGCACTTGCCCATTGAGAATGATGAGTGCGCATCCGTCGTAATACAATCTGTCTCCATCGCATCCTTGCAAGTTTGCATATAAGTAGAGACCGCCGCATTTCAATGTCGCAGAGACGATCACTAGGTGACGGGAAAGTCAGCTATTAGTAGGCTAAAAATGTTTCGGGCAGACGAAAAGACATGTCCGCAGAGTATTTTGATACAGAAGAGGAGACTTCGGATCGCCCAACACCTACGCTCTACTCTCGTGTTCAGTTTTCTAAGCTCATGATGTGATCCGGAGGAGTTTGTGAAAATCTCCGCTCCATCTAAGCCCATACCAATGCTAGGTAAAAAGTGAGTCAGCATTTGCCATATCAAGAGAGTCTCAAGAGAAGAATAAGAAATATCTTGAGACATTCAAAGAGATGAAGCCGTAGGCTATAATGATACTTACTGAGGAGAATTTGGAGTGAACAGTTCTTCGCATGTTTCGCAACCGATGACAGTGTCTAGCGTAGAAACGAGAGCATCGCCAATTGGCGCAGTCTTCTGGCCATTTATCTTCCGTATAAGGCGCGGCAGGTAGTGTTCCTCTACGATCCTAGCACCCCTCCACGGAGTAAAGTAACGGCTTTCATAGTAATTCCCGTCATTCGCAAGCGCCAGCTTAGGTCGAATGAGTTGCTGGTAATGATGAGCATCTGAACAAAACCGTGGTCGATGGCCGCCGTTTGTTGGAGTAGAAATGGTCAGGAGGAAACCGGGCACATACGATTTGCTTATTGTAGATTATGATACGACAATTATATCTCACAGACTAGATGGATCCGAGGGTCAGAAAGGTCACAATCGTGAGGCGTGCGGAGCGGTGCACCAACCTTATGCTTGACTGGCATACCGACGTCGATCAGAATGTCTTGGCATTCGGGGTGTTGCATGAGTTGTGCAAGAGCCTCCCAAGAATGCAAGATTGTATCATCCTCAAGGAAATGATCTAAGTTATCATCAGTTCTGATTGCAACCATGAAACTGTAGAGCTTGAAAACTGACCTAAGCATCCATATCCGGGAATCTCGAGCTCTGGTGGTACCGATGTTTGAGTCAGCATGCCTTTTTTTGAGAGAGTTTCAATAGCGATTCATGAAGACGAGGGAAACCTCGAAAGTGATTGCTCAGGATTAGGCTACAGGTGGAACGTTTTCCTTAGAGATAGGTACTGACCTGGGCCGACTTTATCATGAAATTAGCATGGTGAATCCCTCATAAGCTTAGAGGAAAGAAGTGCAGAGATGAAGAGCGGTCTCAAAAGCCAAATGGTTTCGAATTTGTATGGTTCCGAGGGTAGGAAAGGAGCCCTCCAATCCGGAGCATCAGCGTAGAAAGAAGCAACTTACCTCTGAGACTTGCGCCAGCTTGCTTTGCCTTGACAATGCTCTCGATGATTCGCGCCAGATTGCCTTCGAAATCCAAGGCCCACTGGTTGAGACTACAAGTGGCAACGGTGATGAGGTGGCCCATCTTTTCGGCGCTGTTTGCGTGCAGATTTGGATATGTGGGTTGAGTGTAGGTTATAGATTGTATTGATTGTAACAATATCTCACCCCACGTGACGACAGTCAGTCACTGAGATGATGCTAAGCGTGCTTAGGTAACGCGTAACGTATGGGCTCGTCCCCCAACGAGCTCTCCTATAGATGACTGACATAGGTATAGTATCAATTTCCCATCTGGGTAAGAGACCGATCAAGATGTTACTATCTCAAGCTGTTTAACCTATCCTACCTGCCCATGCTACTTACTACCTACCCCTTTCCAAATCCCAACATTCATTCATACAACATAAATCATACCCATGAGCAAGCAAGCGAGCAAGCGAGCAAGCAGGCAGGCAGGCAAGAGCCCGTACATAAACCAAACAGCCCAGCATCAGAAAAAGCCAACATCCCAAGGGAACCGCGCCCCCCCCCCTTTCTCAACACCCCTATATTCAATACCGACAATTAAAAGCCATGCAAAAGAATCATAGCAACAACATGTCATACCATACTATACTGCTACTACACATCCTCGTCAGCCTCCCCATTCCCGGCACTTAGCAAATCAGCCAGCCAGCAGCGTAAAATCATCATCGGCATCTCATTGGGGTAGAAGAAAAGATGGGGAAAAAACCCTTCACTACTCCTTCCCTCTCCTCCCCGAACACCATCCATCGTACGTACGCACGCCGTTAAGCAAAGACCAGACTTCGAGATCATTTCTTCCTACCCCTAGAAGTAACCTCCCCCTTCTCCCCAATCTTCAGCGTAACCCTGCAGGCAGGACAGTACCATTTCGTAGTTCGTGGCAGGACTTCGTTCAGGCCAACACACTCGAGATGGAACCACTCTATATCGCACTTTTGCACTCGCGTGTCAGCAACATTCTTCGTCAGAGCTTCGGGAGAATGCTTACCTTGTTCTCACACGCAACCATCGTCCCAAAACTAACACGGTTGCAGAGACAGTAGCGCGGCTCGTTGGGATCGATAATGTTACCCTCGTCATCAACCTCCTCGAGCGTCTCCTGAACAGCGCTTCCCTCGCGTCCGTCTTTCTTTCCCTTTTTGGTGTGGGCCTTCTTGCGCGTTGCGCCCTTACGCTTATTCACGCTCACCGAGGCAGAGCCTTCACAGCTGGTAGTGACGACTCCAGGAGCGGGTCGCTTGGAGCCTTTGCTGGCTTGGCGAGGCTCAGGAGCTGGCGTGTTGCGGGCGGTGCTGGTGCGACGAGGTCGTTCACTCGTTGAGGATCCCGTTAGTGGAGCTGGCTCGATACTGGCGGCCGTGCTGCGAGATGATGTTGGCAGCTTCAGGGTAAGTGGATCCGGGGCATCCGTAGAGGCTATCGTCGTACCAGACGCCGAGGTTCGTCGAGGTCGAGTGTTGATAGAGAGCTCGGTGGGTTTAATCTCCTTCTTGACAACCTTCTTTGGCTCTTTGACTGGTGGCAATATTGGCGTTGAGGACTTCTTGTGGGACACGACGGGACGGGGCAGAAGCGTTGGATCTGCAGGCACCTCTGTCTTCGGCATTTGAAGGGCAGCAACCTCAGACGTGACCGATGCTGCACTCTCTGGAGGTAATATGGGCGAGACTTGCTTCGTCGGAATTCCTTGAGGGACAGGAATTGGCGTCTCCGTCTTGGATCTCTTGGGCCCGGGCCTTACTGATCTAGCGGCTGCATCTCCTTCGCCCATTTTATCGCTCTCGAGCCCTGTCACGGAGGGCTCCCTTTTCCTCTTTCGTGCCGGCGTTTTACTTTTATTTGGTGTCTTTGCCGTGGACTTATTATCAGGGCTTTGTCCGAAAAGAGTACTCATGAGGTGAGCAGCTTGAACTACCTTGCGAGCAGACTCCTCGGCTTCATCAGCGGCTTGCTTAGCCATCTCCTTAGCATTGTCTCTTTTCAACTTCTTGGCCTCATTCAACTTCATACCACGATTAGCCATCAGGTGTTTTGATCCCTTCAGGGCCTCAACGCTGATTGCTCCCTCGGCATGGACCGTCTCTCCTCTAAGCTGCGGTGGCTCAGGTTCCGTGAACGGCACCCCAGCTTCTGCGGCCTCTGCTTTAAGCGCTAGATATGCCTCAATACCACGTCCGCGTTCCTTCAGCTCACGGAAGATCATGGTATCGCTTGGAGCCCATATAGCATTCTTCTTCATTCTCTTTCTCAGGATAGCCAGCTCCCAAGCATTCAGCTGCAACCAAGGCAAGTGCTCGTCCCCCCTCACTGCATGCGGAGGAGGTGGCTGAAGCTTTGCTAGAGCATTGCTTGTCGAGATGCCTGCAACCGCACTGTGTACATTTGTGCCCATATGCCCAGGAGGTCGGGACGGGCGTGGTGGCTTGTTGGCATCATTTACGTGATTGGTATTGGAACTCTCCTTCTTTTTGGAAACTTTCAGCTTGATCTTAGGAACTGTTGCCGCAGGCTCTGCAGGTGTAATGCCTCGTGGCGTGATCGCCTCATCCACCTCAGAAGCGCTCGCATCCGACTCTGATCCATAGGACTCGTAATCAAGCTCATAAGGCGCAAGAACTTCTCCCGGCACTGTGATACGAGGAGCACGGTGCTTGCGATTACGTGCTGGCGCCTGATTACCAGAGCCATCTACTCTCAATACTATCTTCGGTTTCATGGTTGTAGGTTTCGCCTCCTGTGGCACTGGACTTGCTTCTCTGGAGGGGGGATAGTTCTCCGCCATCTTCTGCAGCTTTGCCAATATGTTCTGCGCCCGGTTGTAGTGACGGTCGACATTCTCAGCCATGCGAGTGGCCTCCGCATGTGCCAAGGTACGGGCACTGACAGCCTGCTCCAGATTCTCAGAGATCTCCGCGCGGAGCTTGACAGCATCTGGCTTCTTGCCCGGCGATAGATTCGGAAGGTTTCCATACGTCTTGGTGAGTTTGTGGACACTGCCAGAGGCATCGATGTACGTCTGATCGAGGTTGCGGATGAGGGTCAGGGAGCGGATCATGTCGGCGGGGAGGTACTCTGTGAAATCGAGGAAGTCGGTGACGGTCGCCTGGGCGTCAGGGTCAGTGGGCAGATGGAGAGTCTCCATGCTCGCATTCAGGTTCGACATGGACTGGAATGCCTCAGCGATCTTGCCCTTGTTGCGCCGGGAGCCTGGGGAACCACTCTCGAGAGCGACGTCCATGGCTGAGCTGCTGGGCGCCATCTGAGGTGAGGATAGCCGGTGGTGTTGATGATCAGAGGTGGGCACGGCGAGGTCTTGCTGTGGCAGCTTGATGCGACAACTCCAGATGCCCGAGCCATTAAGCCATCTGCAGATGTCGCCGGTCAGCAATTATACGTTGAGGTTCGAAATAATAGCCTACGCCAGCGCCCACGCCAACAGCAAGGCTTGTGGAGGACGCGAGCTGGGCGGAGATCTAGCGCTCGGATATCCCTGCAGCACAGCTGAGCTCCACACTGACACCGCGAACTCTAAACAAAACAAGGGAAGGCGACGGAGGCGGCGGCGGTAACGGGAGCGCGAGAACGAAGAGGATAAATATGAGGGTTGAATCGTGACGTACCTTCTGGACGCGTCGGAGGCCATCGTATTATGGTCCATGTAGTGTTATGGGGGCGTGTAATGAATGAGAATGATATGAAGAGGGAAATGATAGTGGTCGCGAAAGGTGAAGCTGGGAGAGCTGTCCACAATCTAATCAGATCGCGCTTGGGGGTGTCGTGTCTTTTCTGGGTCAAGTGACCCTCGTCCTTCCCGATCGATGTATACAGGAAGGAAGGTAAGTGAGTAGGTACTTGTCAGTAAGTATGTCAGTAAAGCAGTAAGATACATAAGGTTGGGCGAGCTGGAGCGAGGGGCGTCCGGTTTCATTTATTCGCGTCTTGTATCAGGTCCACCGCAAGTTGTGATTCATGCTTCGACTCTTTCTCGAGGGTTTTCAGTTCATCATTGTCAGTAGGTCGATAAGTACATACAGACAGAGTACAGTCAGTTAGTCGCTGGTGGCCGCCCACGCTTATTTATCCATCCATGGTATCAGCCCCCTCCCCTCAGCATGAACTCCACCCATCCACTAGCCACATGGAGACCGACCCCCAGAGCTGCCGAACAAAACAAACGTATCTCGTACTCCGCGTAATCGCATCATGTCATTTCCCGGTATCTTAAATGTCCCAAGTCTCTCACACGGCGCTCACCAAACCAAGGGCAACACCAGTAAGCCCAGCTGCAGCAACCCACACCCCGGAATAGACCACTGCACCCATGACTTCGACGCCTTCAACCGTGACGAAAGTCTGCACAAACGTATTGAGTCCCGTAACCAGCATGACCGTAGCTGTCCTCTTGATCACCACCTTCGTCCTGGCGCTGAACCCCCACACGTTATGCCAGAACGTATCTGCCAGCGTGGCCGTCTCCGGGTTGAACGCGGCGTTCTTCGCATCTCGAGAAGAGGGCGCAAACGTAACAGCAGGGGTGAAGATGAACGATCGCGCAGCTACACCGAGTACGAGCGTCGTTGGGAGGATGGCTACGAAAGAGGAAGCATACGCAGCCGTCATGGAGGGGATGCCCTCGAAGTACGTGGCCAGGTAAACGGGCAGAAATGTAGCGTAGGACGTGTAAACGGTGACCGCGTAGATCAACGCTACCAATCCCGTGGTCAGCGCCTGGATCTCGTAGGATGTAACGATGTCGGCATTAGGTACTGGGACCGAGTATTTCGACGAAGAGGCCGAGTGAGCCAGGGAAAGCGGGCGTAGGATTCGGAAAGGGATGTATGTAGTGAGCGCATCGATGACGAGAGAGGATGCGACAGTCGTAGAGGCGACATGGTAGAAAGATCCAAGAAGATACAGCTACGCAGCATTAGCAGATGCTCGCAGGCGCAGAGGCGTTCTCCATATCATCCTACCGGGGGACCATGGGACAGCAAGCTCAAGGAAGCAAGATCATAGCCATCATAGTTTCCAAACCAGCCCAGCGCAAGCTCAAACCTGCCATGTCCCGTAAGTAGTCGATTGTGATACGCACTGGCCGACAGGCAACTCACGTCCTAAACAAAACCAAAGCCCAAACCTCCCACCACTCCTGGCGGCTCCGCGAAACCCTACCCAGGTCTGCCTTCATATAATCCGGGGTGAACGAGTAGAGTAGCGACGAGAGCATCAGGCTGAGGACGACGACGAGGGGAAATCGCAGGACCGCTGGGATCTTGGATGACCGAATGTACGCGTCGCCTTGCACAACCACCGAGATTGCCTTGTCGGCAAACCGGCTGGTGGAAGCCATTGCGATATTTCCTCGCTGGTTCTAGAAAGAATTATCGAGGAAGAAAGAAGGGGGAGAGTTTGCGCTGCTGGAGCCGCTTGGTTGGTGATGTCGATGGGGTTTGTGTGTGGAGTTTAAAGTTGAAGTTCGAATTCATGTTGATGATGCCCTCTGTTTACTCGTCGGGCCCGGTTATTGTCACATAGACGTCACCACCTGTACCTAGTGAGAAATGTTGTATCTAGCAAACGGGTAAGTTCTGTAAATCAAAATTCTGCGTCTCTGCTTTTTCGTGTTCCTAATACCTACATCTTGACTCAACGACATCCATCTCTTCCGGCAGCTAAGCTATCTATGTTTCACCGTTCGGTCTCTCATGCACGGAATACTCGAAAATCGGTACTTCGACTCCACAGGGTGGCCTTGCAGATCGCAATGTCGACGTCAGTCTCACCGGGAGCCGTGTTCACACATACCTACGTGGAATGGACACTTCTACGTCTGTTCCTCTTTTCATCCTCAATACGCTCATACATGATAGATTTTGACTATATCACATGTCCCTTAAAAATGCCGTGGCGTTATCTCAACGCTCGAGAACGAACATCAGCTTTAACCTCGGGATCCTTCTGCCATATCCCTTGGTGCTGAGTCGGCTGCGGAGATGCTCGCCAGAAGTATACATCGATTACACAGGGAAAAAGATATCATTAAAGGTCCAAAAATTGGTCGACCCAGATGTGCGTCTCAAGGACGCTTCATTCCTCCATCCTTCCAAAGACGCCATCGTCGTCTTCGTCGCTACGTCCACGAAAACGGCGGTCGTACTCCTCGTCGTCAGCGATACTTTCCTCGCTCTCCTCCATCTTTATATCGCCATCACGATGGACTTGGTGGCGGGTGTAGCTTTCAGTCTGACGAGGGTGGTAATTTGGAGTCAGTGTGGTGCCCGAGAAGGCCTCGTTTAGGTAGCGCTCAGGGATGTGAGGTACAGGTGGAGCATCCTCGAGGAGAGTGACGGGAACGCTCCTGGGAGTTCCCGTGCTCCCGAAGCTGCAAGAGAGAAGCTCAACGGCAGCTGCCAGCCCATAATCTTCTTGATTGCGGTTGATGCCAGACGACGTTGGACGCCTTTCCTGGCTTGGTTGACGATGAATACCCAAGGTAGAGCTGTCAGGGATGCTCCCATTGTGGAGTTGATTGGTTCCAGGCGTGGACTGGTACGACCTTGAGAAGCTGTATCCACTGCTATATCTCTTGTGTCGTCCAGTGTACGAGCCACTGCTGTAGACATTGAACATGTCTGCTCCTGGTGGAGGGGTGGTGTCGGCGGAGCTTGTGCCATCATGGAGATCCGACGATCCGGATGGAGCGGGAGAGGCAGACTCTTCTTGGTCGCTTTGAGAGTCCTTCGCCGAATCTGGAGGCGTGATACCATCCTGATTCATGGCCACCAGGACCGAGGCAGCTTCCAAAAGCTGGACTTGTTGATGCTTAGAGATAAGCAACTTTGAAGTCAAAGACCATTCTGGAGTATGCTCCCATCTGCAGTTAAAAGTTAACCCTATTCTCTCAAAGTTCCGCGAATGCTAATCTGGATGGCTCTCAATTCATCCGACAGACAGCATTCGCGGAACCAGATCCTGGCGGAGCGCGTAGGAAAGGAAGGTGGGCACGAACAAATGCTTGGACAAGCAGCTGCTGTGCTTGTATCCCTTTCCACACTTCTCGCACTTGAGGTCGCCTCCATGGGCCTTCTTGCCATCTTTGGTAAGGTGGTGCCCCTCACTAGCTCTCCTTACGCGAGATTGGTGGGACCCACTTCCATCTTTCACGTCTATATCGTCGAGCTGGTCGTCGTCGATTGCACTCTCGCCGCGATCTAACTTCCCAGTCGAAGATAATCGATATCTTTGGCCGGACAAGCTGGCAGGTGGAGAGGGCAAGCTCCCGAGCGCCGGGATTTTGCCAGAGCCATTTTTCGACATTGTGTTTCGGTGAGCCGCAATCGGCATTCCCATGTTTCCAGCTTCTCTGGCAGCAGCTACCATTGCCGCGACATTGCTGGCAGTATTCGACGTTACGCTCTTCCTGCGGGACACCCTATGGTTGGCAATGAGGGATCCGGAGGATACAGAGTGGGAATGGTTTTTCGCCTGGGATTTGGGGAGGGAGGCAGAATTTGTAGACGTGGAAAGGCGATGCTGGCTGAGAGCTCTCGAGGAATGCTGAGGGATATCCTGTAGGAGTCCGTAATCAGCAGTGTTTGATATATAAGTTGTGCTGGCATGGCGAGACCGGACGGGACTACCTTTGAAGAAGCCATGTGTGCGGAAGATTTGACAAGACGGCCCTCAATCCTCGAAGCTCTGAGAAGCTACAATATGAGGGCCGAAAAATAGTATGGGTTACAAATTTGGAGGTGTCGGGACAGATGTATCGAGGTTCAAGATACCTGCATAAATACACGAGACAGGCGCTGGGTTGATCCTGGACGGGGTGGTATGGGAATTGCAAACACAGAGGGGCTTTCGGAGTGCGAATTTGCTCAGGATATTGGATCGATCGTAAGCGCGGAAGTTTCAGAATCGAAGGGGGAAATTTTTTCTTTTTCTTTGTTTTCTCTGGGCCGGTTGGAATGGGACGGGCAGCAACGACTGGCAGACAGCGGAGGAGGGCTGATTATTCGGGACGCGAAGCGAAGCGAGGTCAGCAAGCTTCAGTGAGCAATCAATGCCGGGAGGGTGGAGCAATCGACGAGCAACGAAGTCCTCGAGCAATGGAGCATATCAAGAAAGTATAGAATCGTTCGTGAGCGTGGTCATCAACGGATTGCGATCCGGGCGTGAAGTTGCGTCGTGGTGGTAGTGGTGGTGGTGGTGGTGGTGGTGGTGGTGGTGTTGTAGTGAGAGCGGAATAAAAATGTCGGAGTGTTGGATGGAGTTAGTAGTAAGTTGCGTTGATCAGAGGGCCAGGTCTAGGAAGGGACAAGGACAAGGACAGGGACAGGGGGCGACGATGGGAGGGGGAGGGCAGGTGCGTGTGCGTCGGTTCCTTGGCCTGCAATGGTAAAAAGTGGAGTGTGGTGATAGGTAGGTCGTACTACGGAGGAGGTGGCGTTTCGTGATCAAAGAGAAAGTTGGTGCGAGGTGAGAGGTGTGAGAGATACCGGTAGACGAGGAGAGAAGAGAGAAGGGGAGGAGGAGAAGAGTAGAAGAGAGGAATCGGAGAGGAGATAGGAGACGAGAATCGCAGACGAGAAAGCAGGAGGAGAAGATGAGAGAGAAAGACAACACAGGCAGTCGTAGCAAGGCAGGCGGCCATGTTCATGTTCAGGAAAATACACGAATACCACCAAAATCCGATCAGCTCGATCGCAGAACAAAGGATGGCTGGCGGAAGATTAGGTCGAGGGCGGCGGAACGCAACAATACCCTTAGACGGACGGGCTGGCATCCGTCTCGCTTATGTGTCAACAACCACCCACGCAGACCTACTACGTCAAGCTACTATTATTATTATCCATCTCGATTATTTTTGGCATTCCTCTCAGTAGCGTCCTTACTATTGGCCATCCGCTCTATCACTCTTGGGACCTACGGTACTCCCTCTTTTTCCCCACGGCCAACACCTAATCCCCATTCCGGACTCCCTCGCACTCGCACTCGCACCCATCCAAGCCACACAGGCCACGCCCTGGTTCCACGTCGCACGCCCCCAACTCAACTCGAACACAGCACTGACTGGGTCTAACCTGGTGCGAGACTCCTCGTGACGGATTGTTCAGTGATCACTGATCATGCCGGCGGACTTGGGCAGCCAATCCCAGGCAGGCTGGCCATCATGATACTGGTGTTACAGAGTGGACATGCGCTACGTCGCGACTCTCTTCTTTTTTTTTATGAATGACTTATTGCGTTGCGTTGCGTTGCTTTGCTTTTCATTGCTTTGCTTTGCTTTGCTTTACTTTGCTTGGGCGACGTCGTCGTCGTTAAGTCAGTCCGGACGTCCGTCCGTCCGTCCGTCCGTCCGTCAGTCAGTCAGTCAGATCAGTTCAGTCAGCTCAGTCAGCTCAAGTCAGTCAGTCAGATCAGTCAGTCAGTCAGTCAGTTCAGTCAGTCAGTCAATTCAGTCCGTCCGTCAGTCACCTGCTGCCCTGCCTCTGCTCCTGCTCTCTGGGTGGGACATGAGGACAGGATCGGATCGGAAAAAAGTAGTCGTACTAGCATGTAGTTATTTGTAGTACATAAAGCATGTCGCAATCCAATCCCACCCAATCCAATCGCCTTCCCATTGATTTTTGATTCAGCGCCGACATGCATTGCGCAGCCACCGCGAGCTCCAATGCGTGGCGTTCTAGGCCTTTCTATCTCCGGTCGACGGAGCAAGAATGCAAGATCAGCGGCCCAGGGCTCTAGCGGTCCCTTTACCCCCGACCGCTCCTTATTTCCCGATCATAGTCAGTAAGTACAGACGGCCCAATCTACAACTTAACACGACTACTGCCCGTAATCCAGATCCCACTAATAACAGATCGCAGCTTCGTTTGGTCCCGCATACCTAGGTACTTACAGCGGCTGCAGAGTTAAATTGATGATGAGAGCGGGGGGGCGAGGAGGGGCATCATTGGAGCATTGCCCGGATAGGCAAATCTTGATCAAGCCCAGCCAGCCAGCTCCCAGCTCCCAGCCCCAACCCAGCTCTAGCCGTGGCTCTCTGACGATCCCAAGATCACACCCTCGGTCGTCGGTCAGTCGGTCGGTCCAGCCCAGCCAGCCCGCCAGCCCGCCAGCCCGCCAGCCGGCAGCCCGTGCGAGCCGTGATGGCATTTCACGATTCGCTATGGGAATGGAAACAACCGTCAACAAACAAACAACCAAAAAAAAAAAAAAAATCCCACTGAAACACCCTCATCTCAAACCCCGGGAGAGTTCTTGAGCTTCCCCTCCCCCCCCCCCTCCCAAAAAGAAGGGGAGATAAAAGGAAAAAAAAAAGCAAAAGGCAAAAGAAATAGAGAGAAAGGGACCAAAAAAGTAAAAAGGTACCTCTCTCGATTAGAGTCTGAACCCCCCCTTGTCTCTCTCTTACAGCGTGTATTCACTGTTTACTATTTCGGTAAACACACGGACGGGCCCGGCACTTTCGGAGA